CTTTGACTTTAAGAGAGGATGTACGCTACAGCTACTTCTCATATAGCACATGTTTTGAAAAGTTTTCCTGAAAAAAGTGTATCTTTAACTTTGGATTTCCTACTTTCTGAGTGCAGAACTGTTTTTTTAGCATCAATATTAACATTTTGCAGGTTTTGGAATAACAGTTTAAGAAGTGCTAGACTGAACTACAGAAGTTTAAAAATACATACATGCAATTGTTTGTTAGTCTGAGTATCGTTTTAGAGGGAGTGAGAGAGGGAACCTGAGGATAGGAATTGGATAAACATGAAAATAGTGAAATGTTAAAATTTTACTTGTACCAATCCAGCATTTCTCAGTTTGAAGGCTCTAAGAATACACCTGAAGATCCTTGGTGTCTATCCAGAAACCTTCACTGAGGAAACAATGCAATGAGAGCCCAAAGCCACTGTCAGTGACCACTAAGAACTGGGAACACATGGCAACCCCAACCATAGAAGAGTGACTGAAAAATCTAAGGACACATATCATATATTCTATTACCTGAACACAAAATTTGAAATCTTAAGAGATGAAAATGCACACGCGCATGAAAAGACCCACACCCACACCCACACACACTCACTTCAGATTCATCCATAGACCTGTGGGTTTCAGTTTGAGTAACACAGATCAACACTAACATTTTCATTTTAGAGACAAAAAGATTACCAGAGAGATCACTTGCTCAGATACCCTAGGCAGGCTTCCAAGTCCCAATCCATTAGATCTTTGACGTCATTCACTCATTGCCATCAAGTCAAAACTGAGTCATAACTGATCCTTACACTGGGTTTCTGAGACTGTAAATAGCATGTGAAAAGACTGAGTACCTTTCTCCATCTATGCAACTGGGGTGGATCCAAACCACAAGCAAGGTGTAGCCTTTGGGTTAGCAGTGCAACTCCCTACAGACTATAGCACCGGAGTTCTCTAGTATATATCATTTGTAGTGCTTTACTTAACTACATAAACTGTTACAGAAATAACTTACCCTACCAAATTCATGACATGTATATAAATATATATGCACATAGGTGTGATATTATATATATTAAAACCCTATGAAATAATTTCTAGATAGCCTCTGAAAACCCACTGTAGTGTTAGCTATGAGTCAGTTCCAACTTGACAGCATAAAACAAATAATAACATTATAGTTGAAAGAAAATGTATTTCATAAATTCTCTCCACAAGTCAGCTAGGCTATTTTGTATTTTATGGCTGTAGTAAAAGTCTAAGTACTCTCCCCAGGTTTTTAAGCCATCAAGTTGAAATCATCTTTTAGCTGACCCTCGCAGAGGGTGTTCTGAAGCTGTAAATTGCATGAGAGGAGACTGTCCATCTTTCTCCTTCAGTGTGGTTGGTGGATTCCAACAGCCAGAGGCAACTCAACTCTCTAGACAGCCTCTGTCTAGACTATGGGGTCAGCTAGGAGTTGTTCCAACTTGACAGCATAGAATAACAAACATTATTCTTAAAATCTATTGACTATATTTTCCCCCAAAGTCAGTTAGGCTAATTTGTGGTTATAGTAAGATTCTAACTCCTTCTCCGAGGTTTTTAAAACGATCAAGTTGGAATCAACTGGTAGCTGACCCTCCAGGGGTCAGCACTGCAACTCCCTATTGAGGGATTACACCACCAGAGCTTCTTGCTTTTAAGATAAGAAACCAAGGATTTTAAAAAAAAAATTATATCTGTTTACAGTTTGTTTATTTTTATTTACTAAAAACCACAACTAATCCTGGACCTGGCACAGTGTTCTTTTCTTCTGTTTCACTGTTCTCGACGAAACAAAAAACTAACTGACCATAGTCTAAATAAAAAGACTTATACTTGTGCTCTTTACTTTCTCATTTATACACAAAAATTAAAGTCTTTAATATACCTTTTTAAAAAATGATAGTTTATTTTTTTTAAGATGAGGGAAAGAAATGCAACAAAAAAAGTAGTATTATAATTTCTAGAATATATTTAACCTTGAGGAAGTAATTTTTCTTATAGGAGGCAGACAGAGTATGTTCTACTAGCTGACTTTCCTCTGTAAAATGCTCTGTTCAGGATAAATGACAACATTAAACTGTAAACTATGCTGCCCCCCACCCCCACCATGTAACAAATATTAAAAGCCACGGGCTAGCAAATGCAAAATTTATTTCAACTGTACATAACAGATGTCTTTATATATATATAAAACAAACACTTCATTGCCATATGCAACCACAAACAATAATATGCATACTGTACAATACAATACAACATTCAGATATACATCCAATTGATTTTTTCAAATGGCAGTCAGCTACTAAAAATGGCTTTTCCCATTGACAAATAAAAAGCACAATAAATAGATATTTTTTTTTCTCAAGATCCTACACCACTATATACACATTACTGTGTTTTGGCAATTGTATGCAAAACACACAATTAATATAGCTTATTATATACTTATGGCAAGTATTAAGTTAAATGGGAACACCATTTAAGCCATTTGTAAAGGCTTGATAATGGCTTACAACTACCTTCTAACTCAGATTCTTCATCCTTTCATTATAATACTAACTGTACACATATACATTACAAAATTGCATAAACAGAAGATACTATTTCAGCATGACTCAAGTTCCACAAAAATAGAAACACTGACCCTTTGAACATCGTACCACCATTGCCACACTAGAATTTCTTTGAGACCTGGCACTAATACTTCTAACCAGGTCACAAAGCTAGTGGTGTCAGACATTCAAAACAAAACAAACAGAAAGCCAGATTATTATTCTGCAGTGATCTTAGCATTAAAGAATATTATCAACATAATAATTTTAAGGGGTACAAAAAAGAATGGTGGTAAATTGTCAAAACTTTGGTGTATAGAATATCAATTAAAATGTCTTATCTTGATAATCCATGATACTTCCTGTGTAAAAAAAGATCAAGTGCAGCAACTGCATTTCGATGTTGTGATATATACAGCACATGACAAATGCAACGCAAGTTACTAAGGCATAGCAAAGGCATTTAAACCAATGCACCAATTATTACAATCTCAAAGCAAACAGAAAAGGTAACTCTATTATTAGTATCAGAAAAGATGACTATTCTATGTAATATAAAATAAAACAACTTTGCTTCTAAATTCATTAGATGACTGGTATTAGGTATACAAATTTTGCAGTTACCATATCTTCTAAAAAAATTCCATTTGTCATTTGGCTACCATACATAAACCCCATCTCTACTGTGAATTAATACTGGGCTCTGACCAATTTTAAAAGATTACTTCTCAACTTTCTTATTTATACTAATTGTTATAAAAAATAGCAAATCTTACATGTTCTAAATAGTTTATTAACTACTTTAAAGGGAGCAAATATTTAAAATGAACAGTTTTCCTAATGACTTCAGTAAGAATGATTTATATACAAATAACTCATAGCATGAAGTAATAAAGCTGTTTGACTTTTAAAAAATGTCACTGGCAGAAGTTCACTAGCACCTCTGGGCTTGTGAGCAACAGAACCCAACTCCCAGGAAACAATCATGTATTGTTTCAAGTTATCACTAAGTAAAAAAAAAAAAAAAATTCAGAACACTGAGTACATGGATTTGGCGAAGGAGTGGGGTGGTGGAAGAAGAGAGAAATCACAGCCACCTGGAATTACAGCCATCCTAAAGAAAGGAAAAAATGTTATTCCCGATTCATTATGACCTCTGTTTTCTGAATCTAGTTTCAATAAATACTTAAAACACAACCTTAAAGTTTCCATTTTAATACTAAATATATTGTGCATTAAAGAGAACACAATTTTTCCCCCTCCAGCAATGACCAGATGTAGATTTGAATGCTACAACTGAATGTAACATGCCACATTCAGTTCTTTTTGAAGCAAAAATTAGTCTGAGTGAGGCCAGTGAAAGCTCATTACAACAAATCCCAAAAAACTGAGATTTTTCTTTATAAATGAGTTACATGAAAACCTAGCAAATCTTCAGTGGATTGATATATCCCATTACAATAAAGAAGATATGCTATCTGGGTTGCTGTAAATGGAGTTTCACTGCAGCTAATTGCTGAAAACAAATAATGTGTTCATGGCCATTACAGACAGCATAAGTATGAATGTCAGGGGTGCAGCCAAGCTGTGACTAAAGCCAAAGCATTTGATATTTTTAAGTATACCAAGTGTCTACTTGAATTCAGTCTAACGTACACTTTTAGTGTGGAAAATTCAGATTTTGATTATTAAGCCTTTAATAAAATAGTACAGGCTTACCAAGTACTGTAAAATAGAAATTATTCAACATAGAAAGTTTGGTGTGATAAAGTAAACGTCTGAGCTTTGACAGTTAACTTTGCCTTTGGAGAAAAGAACTCCAGTATCATTGCCTAATGGGAACACAGAGACTGTTGGCCACTAAACTGAGGAGCGGAGGGGTATGGGTGTCAAAGGCAACCTCTTACAGACATGAAGCAGACTTTTTTACATCCTCCAAGGCAAAGAACTCATGCAACATAAACAGATCATTTCATGATTACCAAATGCTCTTAATGATTTTTCAGAAACACAGCTATCTAAATTGAATTTACAGTACTTTTGTTGCATATTTTCTTCTTATCTCTCAACAACTTGATCAGTGTGCCTATTATACATTAAAAAATTAGATCACTATAAGGCTAAAGTCTCCTCCATATTGCTGGCACTTAGATCACAAATCTGTATGGTTTCAGTATAAAATATAAAAGTATTCATACAGCTGTATCAAAAAAGAAATGAAACCATTGCTACACTGAGAATAGTAATAATAATAATAATAATCAAAACCAAAACCAATTGGAGCTATAAAACAACACTATCCATTCAAAAAAAGAAACCCTCAGGTATTGGCTTGTGAATAATACCGTATCTCCCTTCAATAGTCAGTAATTTGAATGTATATTCAAATTGGCAATCAAGCCTCTACAAAGTACAACGGAAAATATCAGAAACCGCTCTCAAAAGTTGTTAAAATATCACATTAAAAGAGACAAGGAACAGCAAGAAAACATCTAAGAAAAGCAGGCTGTGATACAACAAGCATTTGTTAAGAAAAGCTCAGAGTGCATTAGTTCTGGTGAGAGATATATGAGCAACAGCTCTTACGAGATGTAGAACCCATTCTGTAACTATGGGCTGTCCATATACTGTCATAGTCAGAGTCTTCTGAGAGGTCTGAAGGCTCCAAACGAGAAAGGCTACTGCGACGACCCAAGGAGTCTAGACTTGATTGGTCATCATCAGCCAAGACGTGATTATGCATCAGGTCAGTGCCTTGCCATGCTAAGGATGTATGGGTGAAATGAAATGGCAGGTGTGGATAGGCAAAGGTGGGATGAGAAGGAAAAGGAACAGGAATAGCCACAACCAAAAAACATGAAAACAAAAGCAAAAGGTGATGGGAAGAGAAGGAAAAGAGAAAATATTGTTAAAAATAATGGCATCAATGTTTATTTATCCTTATTTATGGCTGGGTTTTAAAAATTAACTAGCACAATCCTTAGAATAACACTAATTCAATATCAATAAGTAAACTTAAATCACGATGTTGCTGCCAATTGTTTCCTTTAAAGTAACTAGTATAAAGTATTCATTTAAGAAATCTTTTATAAATTCAGCCCAGCTCCAAAAGATGATTTTACAAACATTTGACAACCAATTCTACTCCCCTTATAAAAAAAGTCTCCTTTAAGACATTATTTGTAAAAGGAACCATTCATGTGGCTAATTAAAATTACTTCCTATTCATTAAGTAGGTATTTTAAATGCAGAATAACTTCAAAGGGGTTTTGACTTACTTCTTCAGCTATCTCTGCCAAGACTATAATCACCAGAAGTCATCTTAATCATGAGGCACTAAACTTACCTTTATCAATACATAACCACTGTAAAAATTTCAGAGTGGAGAAATGAATTAAATAGGGTCCATGTCCCTCTATTTTCCCCACCTCCCTCAGTCTACTAATCTACTGAGTGAGTAGAGCTCCTTAATAGTGCTCACCAAAGTTCAGCCAATGAAAATGAACACAATGGGAAGCCATGTCTGTTAACCATGTTATCAATCTTGGGCAGACCCCCTTTTATTGTCAGGAAAAGATAAGTGAACTGGTAATGCCACTATGTTAAAAGGAGGACAACAGAAGGAAGTGGGTACAAAATGGCAGAACAGAAATAACCCCATGAGTGGTTGGCAACTGTGATCAATGAAACTGGCCAAGCAACTGTGACTGAGAAACATGCAGAACCAGAAAGGGGTAAGAAAGCAGAGGGTCCTCTAAGTACACACTTAAGGAGAAACAAGAGGGCCCTTTGTGATGTTTTAATGGTAAACCACAACAACCACTGATTCCTTCCTTGCTCCTGCTTTTGATCAAAGTTAACTCAGTTTCAAAGCCACAAGAAGATTAAGCAGTGGACTACTGTGGATTTCTTTATAACTAAATCATAAAATTGCTTCTTATACTTAAATTATTCTCAGTAGTAGATGTTTATAGCTTTTTGGTATCCAAAAGTATAACGAACAGAAGCCAATTTTAGGTAAAATATATTCTACTATAAAAACTCCTTTTACTAAGCATTTAATGTGAAAAGTGTTATTTTCACTATATCCAAATTGTTTTAAATCTTCAGAGCAAAAGAATCAATTTCTCCTATCACTACCTTTTCCTGAGAATGCTAGGTTTAAAACCGTATGTGATTTTAATCCCCTTGAGGCTACAGGGTGGTTTGCCCATAATATCAATTAAAAACAAAAATCAATGCATTGTCCAATGCTTGTCTTGCACAAGAGAAATGGAAATAGAGAGGCAATGGGATAAGAAAAGATCTGCACAAATTATGGGCCGTTCCTTTCAGGCAGCCAGAAGAAGCAAAGCCAAGAGCATATTACATGGCACTGTCTCTTTATATGAAAAACACGACTTGCACTAAAACACACACAAAGCTCATATTACCTGGTCTGTTCATCTGAGACTACTGGGTTAAAATTTTATTTCAAGTAATTGAGATACCTAATTATGAAAAATCTGAAATTCAAAAATAAAACAAAACTATGGCCATATTTTATAGTTCATTATGTAAAATATTATCCCTAACAAATCAACAAAACTGTCATACCTTAATCTGTATCCATATTTACAAATTCTTGCTTGAGTGCTCATACTATGCTAGATTATCTATACCATCCTACTCTAGTGACTAGTTACTATAGCTGCTATGTGCTGTTAAGTCAGAATCAACTCACAGCTGACCCTCCAGGGGCTTTTCAAAAGCAGGCAATCACACAGAAGGAGAATGCCCATCCTTCTTCTGCAGAGCAGCTCGTGGACTTGAATCATGTGCCTTTGGTTTGGCAGCACAGGTCCTTACTACTAGAAAACCATAGATCCCTAATTAGTTACTACGGGGAGACATTTTCTTGAGAAATACAAGCCATCCTCCCCGCCCCCCACAAAAATGGCAGTCTGACATTTGGGAAAAGTCTTAATGACATAGGTCAGAGAATGATAAAGTATGGACCACAAAAATTTCTAAATAATCTGAAGATACAACCTGGAATTCAATCTGCTAGCGCTATTTCCATAGCTGTAGTTATCTTTAACAAAAGTTGAAATAGTTGAAAACTTTTCACACTTTTATTTTTAGCATTAGTTTAAAACAAGTACTTTAATAACCCGCAGGAGTTGGCAATGAATTGGTAAGAATAAGTGACTCATCAAAAGTCAAGGTGAAAGGGTATTAAATACATATGATCTAGAAAATGTCAGAAATAATAGGTAAATTGTCTATTTTTCTAAAAAAATAAACGTTAAGAAACAACAATACAAAGGACACTCTGCAGTGTCTGTCTATGGCCATTTAGAGCAAGCACCTCTATGAAGTGGTGGCCCTCAGGGAACACAGTGGCCAGAAAGAAGGGGAAATAACTCCCTTTCACAGAAATAAACAAAACGCACATCTATCTTGATCACCCTGAACTCAACGGTCAACTTCTAGAGAATATTTTAAAAAAAAAAAAGAAAAAAGGTGCTCCTTCTCCTTGGCAGTTAGTGTGAGGGTGTGCTTGGACACACATTATGAAAAAAATTTTAAAAAAATAAAAGAAAAAAGGTCCTACTGTCCATAAAATAGATAAGAATAGTTTTCATCTAAAGGAAAATGCAATAGGCATAGGAAAATCGAGTAATAAGGAAATTTACCCAATAAATTAGTTGGTGTCTATTTTAAACATCAGTAATATTTACAAAAGAGAGAGTGGATAAGAAAGCTTTGCTCCAAGTTTCTTTTTAAGTCATTTGAGTAAGTTAAGGAAAAAAAAAATATTGTCTACACAAGACGCATAGTTAAAACAACCCAAATAACATATTAATCTTCTATTTTCTTCTATAAACTCTTCTTTAGGAAAAGCCAATTGTCCTTGACTGGCTCATGACTACCCTATGGGGCAGAGAAGAACTGCTCCATGGTCTCTGAGACCGTTAAATCTCTATGAGAGGGAAATGCCTCATCTTTTTTTTTCGTGGAGTGCCTGATAAGCTCTAACTATCAACCTTATGGTTAACAGCTCAATACTTATATATGTAACTGGCCACCCAGGGCTCCTTCACTAAGCAAAAAAATGTTAACTCTGATAGTACTTTGCTATCTAAAAAAAAAATCCCACTGTTATTTTAGTTATAGCTGTGATTATTTTCCAATGATTCAAGGACTTCAGAGTAAGCCACTAAAAACCACACACACTGAGGAGCTATGCAATGGGCATTCCAGAACCATTTACTTTAGACTATTTACACAAAACACAGTAACACATTTCTTACTAAATTTTTGTGACACTTACTTGAATTAAGTGTTTGTCGTGTTTTGGCACTTGTGCAGTAAGCTTCAATAACTTTTAGAATTTGAGCATCTTCTTCCAAAGCAGCTGTACCTGTCAAAAGAAGAACAAAGCTGTATAATTTAACTAAATTTAATTACTAGTACAATTAACTAGATTAATTAAAAACTGTCTTATTATCATTTCTGGATGAACTGATAATCTCCTTGTCAGATAACTATTTTTTAAGTATTATAAAAAGTTATACTCAAAAGACTAAGTATATTTTATCTGCAATGTATCTGGCTATGAGTTAATACAATGAATAAATAAAAGCTACAACACTAATTCACAGTAAAATGACCCTATACCCTCAAATTAGCAGGCAGGGGGAGAAGGGATAGGAACAAGCAATTCATAAAACAGAGTCAATAAAAGAAGTTTAATCTTAATACTAAAAAACACAAATTAAAGTAACATCTGGTTTATTCAAAGCAACCCGATGGAAATAAAAATCATCAATAATTCTTAATGTTGATGTTAACATGACCAAAAGAAAACACTTGAAGTCAATGATAGTAGTGAAAACAAAGTCATTCTCTAGAATTTGACAACATTTACAGAAGGTCTCTGAAAAGAGTATTCCTTCTGATTCATATATCACTGTTGTTGTATACCGTCAAGTCAGAACTAACCTACAGCTGACCCTCTGGTGAGTTTTCAGAGGCAGTTAATCAAACAAAAGGAGACTGCTCACCCTTCTCTCACAGAGCATTGGTGGATTCGAACCAAGTGCCTTTAGATTGCAGTGCAGCTTCTTATCACTAGGCCACCAAAGCTAGTAGAAATTTAAGAAAAACACTAACAACTAAAACTCAATACCAGGAGACCTGAAAGTAGTACCAGGAATATTAAAACACCCCAACCTAGAACTTGATTTTGAACCATGTAGTGTCTCCTTGCTCTATTCTGAGAACTGCCTCCTGGTCCAAGTATAAGTTTTGCATTAGCACAATCAAATGTTCTGGGATTCCATTCTTCTCAGAGTCTGCCACAGCTTGTTGTCCAAAGTA